AAATCTTTGGGGGATGATGGTTCGTACAGTTTATGCCAATGGAAAGCAGTTTTCCACAATTCATGATTTGAAGGCAGCAATTTCAGATGCTTGGGATAAACTTAAGATTGAATTCCTTCAGAATCTAATTGAAACAATGCCTAATCGAGTATTTAATGTAATTAAGTTAAATGGTGATTACATTGGCCATTAAATTGTAAGAAAACTTTGCAATTTGAAACCTGTCCGGATAAATATGTAACAGTTTTTTTGTACAAAATTTTCAAAAATATTATTTTCAGTGACAAAATGTTAATGTTTGATTAAAATTCTTATTTTGCAGTGTGGAAACATGTAAATCCATGTTATTTTTAATAAAACATTTATCACTTAATGCAGAAAATTTGGGTTTCACTTTAATTTTTTCATGTCTGTATAAATTTGAAATGCACCTTATTTCAAGATGTAATTTTTGCAAAAATAATTTTATACTTAATAAAGAAATTTGAAAATTTCATTTGTAATTTAACATTGAAAAACTGCATTTATATTTAAAATAAAAAAAATTTTACGTTTTCTAGCCAGTTGAAAATGGGATGCCAAATTTTTTGGTTGCCCCATACAGTAGTTTGCGCAACAAAAAAGCAGCCAAATGAAACATATGTCTATTGGTACCCGACAGGCATATGTTTTATATTATGTAATATGGATGCCGTATAATATCAATGTGCATAAAATCACTTTAATCCATAATGGTTGATTTTTCCCACGGCAACTCCAGTTGGATGACTCAAGACTTTATTTTAACAACTTTAACACAAATTGTACATATGCATTTCGGGCTGTTGTGACTTCACAACCCCTCTAGTGATGTTTTAGAGAGAAGAAATAATTTACATAATTTAATTTTTCCATAAATAATTTATGGAAAAGCTCAAATGTGTAATGGAGTTTTAAATTATTTTTTCTCTCTAAAACATCACTAAAGAGGAGCTGTGAAGTCATAACAGCCCAAAATGCATATGTACAGTACAATCTGTGGTAAAATTGTTAAAATAAAGTCTTGAGTCATCCAACTGGAGTTGTTGTGGGAAAAATCAACCGTTATGGATTAAAGTGATTTTATGCACATAGACATATGTTTCATTTATTACAGTTTATTTTTGTTATTTACCAATTAAAATTTTTATTATTGTTTTGTTTTGAATTCAGATTTATTCCATACAAATTGGGATTTCATATCATTATTGTTTAAAAGTTTAATATTCAGCTTAAGAAATATTTACTGTTTTTTTGTTTCTGAAAATGGGAAAAATGAATAAATTTATAAATAAAAAGAAAAGTACTTTTAAATAATTTTTACTTTACTTGGTCTAAGTTTAAAGATGTCAAGTCTAAAAATCTAAGTTAAATGCATATTTTGAACAGTAATGATTATCATTAACTTATTATAGTTTTTAATAATAAAAGAATATATACAGGAAACCCTCATTAATTCAAACTCTGATAGTTCAAAATTCTTTTAGTTTGTAACCATACTATTTGTCCTGGCCAGGGTTATAAATGATTACACTTTAATGAATTCTGTTAGTTTGAAATATTGCTACTTCAAAATTTGAAGTGAAAATTCTGTCCAAACTGTGATAAGAGTATATTAACTGGTTCATTTAGATCAAAATGCCTTTGTGCTGTAAGAGAACAATAGACCAAAAACAACTCTAATCTGGTCAATATGGCTTTGCTTTTACAGTAATGCAATTTTTGGTGTTATCTTACCCACAGACTAGCCTTGTTTCTCTTATCTCATAAAATACAGCTAGGTTTCAGGATTGCAAGATTGGGCTATGAGTAGCAGACAGATATTTGTAGGGCTCTAGACTACTACATTTGGGCAGCTTACTACTTTTTGGGTCACTTTAAAAATAATTTGGGCTGCATTTTTAGGAATTCTTTACTTTTTATAAAACTTATCTGGTAACTTGTGAGGTTATCACTGGACATGTGCTGTTTACCTGTNGAGAATTAATCAATAAACAAGAAACATTTGATCCCAGTCCATATTCTTCCTGTCCATAAAAACAAACTAATATTTTTAATTTTGCAAAAAGGAATTGTTTAGAAAAAATTGTTTCAAAACTTGCTGCCATGGATGGATTGTCCATTAATAGCATTACGACATGCTTGTTCATAGAGAATCTTTGTAACAATGGGGATATACCACAAACCTCCCTCTCAAGTAATGGATCTTATTTATACATTTTATGAAACTAAAAGAATTGGATTGTGTGAAGAACAATGGAAAAAATTTTCTATAACTTTAGATGAATGGACTAACCAGAAATCGCAGATATTTGAATATTGATATTCAAATATCTGCGATTTCAATGTACACTATTTTGAAAAAGGTTTTAATTTAGGATTCGTTTTGATAGCTAGTACTTGTGACTCTAAGGATTTCTGAGAGGGCTACAAATTTTTAACTTATGTAGCAATCAATATAGTTGCTGCAACAAATAATAGTGTTGCTGTTATTAAAAAATTTGGCCAAATATCATTTATAATTAATGAGAATAGAGAATATGTGAATAGCACAGTTGATTAACTGTGCTATTCTCATGCCATACATTTAGCAGTTACTGATGTATTATATAAAAATTAAAAAACCTGCTGAAAGTGATGTAAATGTTACAATTGAGGAATCAAAAATGATAAATCAGAGGATGACTATGACAAATTAAGTTCTGTTGATCTGGATGATCGTAGATTACTTGTGTTGTCAGACAATTATAACCAATCAATTTCCCAAATCAGAAAAATTTCAAATTTTTTAGAAAATCTCGTGTAAGAAATAGCATTCTCCAGAATTATGTAAAACAGAAAAACGGGGAAGGAATTAACTGCCAAACAAGATGGAATAGTTTAGAGGCCATGATAGAAAGATTTGTACACTTAAAAGAATTGTTGTTTTAGCTCTGAATGAAGCAGTGTGTTGTAAAATTGTAGAGCTCCTTAAAGTTTTAGGATCAGCGATACATTTAGCAGTTGAGGCCTTAGGATGACAAGTACAAATTTATTAACAAGTGAAGGCATATTTGAATTTCTGTTATGTGAATTAAAGAATTTGAAAACTGAAATTAGTTCCAAGCAGGGGTGAATCCTGACCAAAAGTTTTGGGCATGCTGAAAGATGATTATAATAAGAATAATAGGTATATGAGCCATTAATTTTGAATGTGGGGCAAGTCCATTTTTTTAAAAAATGGAGATAATGGTAGTTATAGATAAAACTTGTTATGATCTTTTTATGGGTAAACAATTTATAGTTAAAAAAAATTCAGATTCTAGTATTTGGGAGATGGAAGTTTAAGCTCTTAACAGTATTGAAAATATGTTTATTTTGAAAGTGGTGCAAGTCCATCTTAGATTGAAATTATTTTTGACCGAATATATTACGGCAAAATTTAGCTCCGGTTGCTGTATGGTGAAGCAATGTGGCCATTTGACATCATTTCTGAAATCTAGGGTGTTTCTATCTATCTATCTTTGATATTGAAAGTCGTTGGTTGTACAATATTTCATTAAGAACAAAAAGTATATCTTAATTTTGTGTTTCGATAATAATATGTTTACTTCCAACACCGAGAAGTATAAGTGGAATATGTATGTATTGAATCAAGACTTCCACAATTTTCATAATGATGAAGTTAGCATGTATGTTTGGGATGAAACTATAGCATCCCGAGGAGCACAAGAAGTAGCATCTTGCTGTTTGAAGCACTTACAGACTGTGACAACCCAAAAACACATTATAGCTAGCTTATAGTGACTTGTGCACTGGCCAAAATAGAAACATAAAGTTGGCCTTAATGTGGATGAAAATTGTNAAAAACTTTAATAAATAATAAACTAAATATAATTCTTACAAAAAAAGAATACAATTTTAAAAATATATATATTATATTCCCTTACGGTAATTACTACGACAATGATATAGCGCGAAATAGATGCGCTATATCATTACTGCGATAGGCAGCACATAGCACTTGTCTATGTGGAATGGAAAATGTTACCTTGTGAAAAGTCTAAAGTATTTAATTTTCCATATCTAACGACTCGGGTTGTTTTATTTCTGAACGATACTTTTTTAATTCTAATAAGCGTTCTCTAGTAGTCGAGTGGATAAAACCACCTAACTCTGGTAGTTAGTCGTGGGTTCGGGCATGGCCAACAGGCTGGTCACGTAGAGTTTTACGGGTTTCTTCACCTTAGTAACACCTAAATAGGATCCAGCTTCTCTTAAAAGTCTTCCTGGGATATATTCTCCCGACAGATCGCTCGAGTGTTTTTATTTTTGACCCCAAGGCCTAAATTGCGTTAGGCGCACTCAGTCGCATCGGAGAGCACTGACATTGTCACTTTAATATCTCTGTACAGTATATTCAAACCGAAGTCATGGACTTCTATTTTTTTTACAAGGATTCACATTACATTTTTGGATTCCTTATCGCAATGAATGAAAAATGGCAAAATTTAATCAAAATCTATCGAACGGATTTTGAGAATAAACACAATTCTGTAAGCCATATAGAAGAGGCTTGACTAACGCTCCACTTCAATTATCACACAAAAGCAATTATTCTCTCATTTTTAAAAGATTATTTTTTATTTAAACAAGTCATATGAAGTCGTTTAAACATTCTAAAAATTCTTTAAATTGTGTACAGTAGAAGAATATAANCTTTCTTGAAACATTTTCATCTGTTTTAATATTAAATGCCACAGTTTACTTATTTTTAATTTTTCTGATTATTGAATTGGTTCATTTTCTTGAATATTATATTTAAGAGATAATTACTAATACAAAATGAATAAGAAAAATTTTATTTAAAAGGTTACAAGATGAATTTTTAAGTCTGCAAAAAGAAATGAAATTGACACTAGAAGAAAACAAGGCAATTAATAATAAAAGTGTAGAAGCCATCGAAAAAGCTAACAAAATGGTTCAAAAGCAGCAGAAAGAAATTGAAGAATTAAAAATGAAAGTAAGTGATGAATCAACAACAACTGTCATATTACATTGGGGTAAATAATGGCTATAATAATTAGCAATTACTAATAAATTTGATGTAAGAGGAAAGCATTAGGCATCATCTCGTAATAAATTTAATAATTATAATTTAACTAAATAATTTTAGATTAGATCCGTTATTTAGCCCTATGTAATATGGCAGTTGTTGTTGATTTATTGTAATTATTGGGTTCAGTATGGATGTTTATATTTGAAAGTAAGTGATGATAAAAGAAAAGTGTGAAAGGTGTTTTTAAAATTTTTAATAATTCTTTTACAAAAATTAACTTATTTTAATATCGATTTTATAATCCCTACATTTTTAGTTTTTTTTTTTCTTTTTTCAATAAGTAGAAGAGACAAGTTGAAATTTTTCATTCATTTCGTACATCTGTTTGTTTGTTCTCATAGTTTCGCAGAAACTAATAGAATTAGAGAGTTTAAAGTTTGGATTTACTTCGAGCATCTGTCTGTTAGTAAGTTCTCTTAGAAAAAAGTCAGAATAGCTGGATTGTGTGGTTGTAGTGTAGTGGTTCTCAAACTTTCAAATAGACGTCTGTGGGTTTTAGAAAAAATTCTTACTTGTTTTACACTCTTCGTAAATGCATATGAGGTAGGTTGTATTTTATTCTAATAAAATTAAGATTTTTCTGACAATTTTTCGATAGTAAACAATTACATTTCGTATAAAGCAAAAATTAAATGGCATATTGAAATATTTACCATTAAATGAAATGAAATTTTAATGATGTAATGAGCTATTATTTATTGTGACAATTGTTCCTCACAACAATAGATAAAAAATGATAATAAGTAGATAATAACTGTAATATTTATTACAACAGTTATAAAATCTATTAACTATATATATGAGGATAGATGTTTGTCTGTTTGTTCGTTATACACTCTTAGGCCGTTTGACCAATTGTTACGAAACTCAGTAGTTACGTTCAAATACTTCCAACTTAGGTAATGTCGTACATCACCACACCAAGAGATCGATTGTATTTCTATTTATATTTGATTTGCTGGCTTTGCGCGTAGCGCCATCTATTGGCAAAAACTTTAATAAATAATAAAAGTTAAATTGCTTTTGAAAATGTTTAGTATTTACTTACAATCCTAAACATTCCTCATAGTGATAAGGATAGAGTAGAAAGACTTTCTACTATATCCTTATCATTCTTCTCTAACTGCACTTAACTAATACTCAAACATCGACACAATTCCAATTTTTCTGTTCCCGACAAAGGCCATTCAAACTGCCCAAAAACGATAGAAAATTGAATAAAAAGGCTGCATTTTAAAGGGTTTTGTGTTGAGGTTTGAATATCTTTATCATTTCTGGAATTTACACATTGAACAAAAATGGAAAATTCTTACAATTTAGCGATGATTTATCCTTTGCTTCTATTCCATTTCTTTAATCTCAATGTGTAATTGGTTCAAACACCATCATTTTCTAGGAATTATCTCATCCACAGACTCTGTAATTACTAGCCAATCAACAACTTTATTTTACCCATAAAGTTGTGGGTAAAATAATGTTGTTGATTGGCTAGTAATTAGAGTATGTGGATGTGATTAATTCTTAGAAAATAACTGTGTTTCAACCAGTTACATATTGAGGAAAAAAGTGGTAAAAGTTGTTATTATTTAGGTTTCATGACTAGGTTGTTAGAAAAAACAGTTTGAGCATATATTTTCCTTCAAATCTGCTTATTTAGGGGTTGTCACTTCTCTAGTCCAGTTGGCAAATGACAAGGATGTAGGCATTAAATGGGACAAACTTTTATTAATAGAAGAACATAGGGAAGACTCGTTGATCGGGCCATTAGAGCAATATGTTCATTCCATATCTAAGCTTCTGGATCTTCTAAATGTAATTAACACAAATGATATAGCAGCCTTCAACAACTGTTCAGAAGATCATATTGAATAAAGTTGACATCATTCAGTTAATCAGGATAAAGTTACAAATAATTTTATTTTGAATGCATTTTTTAAAAATGTTAAGATTTTAATGGCTACGAATTTGCATCCTGTTAGGTCATTTAAAGTTACAAATAATTTTATTTTGAATGCATTTTTTAAAAATGTTAAGATTTTTTTAANTATTGGATTATAAACTTACATTATCTGGTACCACAAAATATTAAAAATATATCTATTAATACTTACCAATATTTTTAAATTTATTGAAATGCAAACCTTTAAATATCTCGCAATAACAAAAATTGGACTTGCCCCACTTTCAAAATAAACGGCTCATATCTTAGCACTAAATGATAGGCAGAAATGTTATTTGGTGTGAATAAAAAGGTATGATAAAGCCCATTATATCTACAAATGAAATATATTATAATGAAAAAAGTATTAAAAATTTATGATGATAATTCAATTTTTGTGGGCCTTTGACATTGGGGGCCCAGGGCTTAAGCCCTATTAGTCCATATGTAGATCTGCCCCTGTACACAATACATGTATGCTGACAGGGTACTGCAAGCTTTCACTACAATCTGTCCGTGTTAAATGCTTCAAATTACGTCATGCACGTGCACTTGTTTGCTGCAGAAAACCTCCACACAAGCAAGTGATCAAGTTCCCGCAAGCATCGCACTGACTTAAAACGGCTAGCCGCTAGCTTCCAGTGTAAAAGGAAACACAAATGATAAGAGTTTACATTTTAGAATAAATTATTAGTGGCATATTTATTCTCATATAAAAAATATATTGACAGTCAAAACTTATTCTTAAGCGTGTGGCACATGCTAAGCAAGTTAGAATTCGCCCCTGAATTCAATAGAATTCGCCCCTGGTTCCAAGTTATTACATGCTGTAGAGACAAAGACGTCTAGCATATTTCTTCCACTAGCTGCAAAATTTGATATCATTAAATTATCTGGACAAATAATATTGAAATTATATCCAAATTATTCTACAGATGATGACTGCAAAGATGAAAAAAGTGGCAATGATGAAAATCAAGCCGTGGCTTTAAAAAAATGCTATGAAAAATCGATATATAAATATTTTCAAGAACCTGAAGAAGTGACTTTGTCCAGCCCTAAGACACTAAAAAAGGTATTAGAGGGTACAAACAGAAGAACAGAAAATTTAGATTTATAAATTAAATTTAAAAAGATTTAAATAATAATTTAATGCTTTAAAGATGATTAAATCCAGCTCACTAGCAAGTGAGAGTTTTTTCTATGTTTGGCAATTTTGTGTGCAAAACAAGCACACAGTTGAGCAATAGATCTATAGACATTCTTTGCTTTTTAAAATTATATTTTCTTAGGAAAAATAAGAAATAAAATAATATTTTATAGACACTCATCGTTGTTTGTTTTTCTATGGAGTACATTTTAGTTTGTTTATTTTTTTTATAGTTTTATGTGATATTCTAGCAGTTTTTAAGTTTTGTTTTGTGTAGACATTCGTTGATTTTATTTTGTTATATTTTTGAAATTTTATAAATATTAAATAAATTAAAAAAGTTGTAAAACTCATGTCCATTTTTTTTAAACTGGTTTTTTATAGCTTCAGTCATCCATGCTTTCTCCTCCTTATCTCTTCCAATCCCCTTTCCAACCCCCTTATCTCTTCCAATCCCCTTCCAATAGTCCTAATTTCTCTTCATATATGCAAACCATCTTAACCTACTTTCCTGCATCTTCTTAATTATAGGATCAACTTTCATTGTTCCTCTTATGTAATAATCTTAATTTTGTCCTTCATCACACCATACATTCATCTCGACATTCTCATCTCCTCTGTTTCCGACACCTTTTCCAGGGCTCTTCTGGAAATTGTACTCTCAAATTAAAAAGTTAGAAGTTAAAAATGTTGAAATTTTACAATTTTAACATTTTAAGAACTATTTACTTTCATCTTTGCTGCTTCACCATTAATCTATTTTCAGTATATTTAATGTTAAATTTGTGTCTAGATTATTTAACATAAGGATTTATTTATAAGGATATTTCCAAAAATATCCATTAAGAGATATAAGAGGAAAGACCTTTTCTCTTTATCTAAATTTCAGTTAACAATTTGACATGTTTAACATTAGAATCATTCTTGTCAATTTGATCCTTCTGGAGAGTTAAATATTGTATTTTCTTCATTTTTGAAATCTTTGTATCATTTCATTGCAGCCAATTCTTTAAACAGATCATCGTCATATTTAAGAGATTTGCTGAAACAACCAAATTTCATTCCTCCCAACATTTTTCCTCAAGCAGTAGGAAGGAAGGGTAAATACATAATTTTTTCTATTTTCTTAGGAGGTTTATTTTTTTCACATTTTAGTATCTTTGTTATAAGAATTATTGGAAAAATCCTTATAAAGATACCAAGATGTCAAAAAAAATTAAATCTTTTAAGAAAATAGAAAAAAACATTAATTTTAGTTAACAGAAATACTTTAAAAATGCAAATGAATTTAGATTAGTTTAATGCAAAATACACTATTTCAAATAAGGAATTAAGTAGATTGATTTAAAGTTGAAAATGCATTTTACAGTCAAGGCATCAAGCTGTGGAGGTTGTGAAATTTACAAGTTTCTCAGATTTGTTAAACATTATTATTATAATTTGTAAAAATAAACTTACTTATTGTTTTGTGTTGAGATAACCATCAAGTAGAATGAATGAATGCACAGTAGAATAAACAGTTGGTGCTTTTGATACAAATATTGGGTTGTTCAGAAAGTAATTTCGTTCTTTTTTACCACTAGACAGATTAGTCGTATTTTTCCTGCCATTTTCATTCTAAACCATATTATCATTATATATTTTGACAGCTGGCATTATAAGGCTTATTTGTAAAAAATTTTGTTTGGTTTTGTGCAATTGTTTATTTTTTGTGTCCCATCAAATATGGAAGATCGAAAGCAACATTTTTGGCATATTTTGCTCATTTATTGGAAGCTGGACCAAATTGGATCTTTCAACAAGACAATGCCCCTGTTCATGCCTCTAAATCAACAAAAATGTGGTTTAAACGTGAAAATATTAATCTGATGACATGGCCTGCTAGAAGCCTTGACCTGAATCCGATGAAAAATCTTTGGGGAATGATGGTTCGTACAGTTTATGCCAATGGAAAGCAGTTTTCCACAATTCATGATTTGAAGGAAGCAATTTCAGATGCTTGGGATAAACTTAAGATCGAATTCCTTCAGAATCTAATTGAAACAATGCCTAATTGAATATTTAATGTAATTAAGTTAAATGGTGATTACATTGGCCATTAAATTGTAAGAAAACTTTGCAATTTGAAACCTGTCCGGATAAATATGTAACAGTTTTTTTGTACAAAATTTTCAAAAATATTATTTTCAGTGACAAAATGTTAATGTTTGATTAAAATTCTTATTTTGCAGTGTGGAAACATGTAAATCCATGTTATTTTTAATAAAACATTTATCACTTAATGCAGAAAATTTGGGTTTCACTTTAATTTTTTCATGTCTGTATAAATTTGAAATGCACCTTATTTCAAGATGTAATTTTTGCAAAAATAATTTTATACTTAATAAAGAAATTTGAAAATTTCATTTGTAATTTAACATTGAAAAACTGCATTTATATTTAAAATAAAAAAAATTTTACGTTTTCTAGCCAGTTGAAAATGGGATGCCAAATTTTTTGGTTGCCCCATACAGTAGTTTGCGCAACAAAAAAGCAGCCAAATGAAACATATGTCTATTGGTACCCGACAGGCATATGTTTTATATTATGTAATATGGATGCCGTATAATATCAATGTGCATAAAATCACTTTAATCCATAATGGTTGATTTTTCCCACGGCAACTCCAGTTGGATGACTCAAGACTTTATTTTAACAACTTTAACACAAATTGTACATATGCATTTCGGGCTGTTGTGACTTCACAACCCCTCTAGTGATGTTTTAGAGAGAAGAAATAATTTACATAATTTAATTTTTCCATAAATAATTTATGGAAAAGCTCAAATGTGTAATGGAGTTTTAAATTATTTTTTCTCTCTAAAACATCACTAAAGAGGAGCTGTGAAGTCATAACAGCCCAAAATGCATATGTACAGTACAATCTGTGGTAAAATTGTTAAAATAAAGTCTTGAGTCATCCAACTGGAGTTGTTGTGGGAAAAATCAACCGTTATGGATTAAAGTGATTTTATGCACATAGACATATGTTTCATTTATTACAGTTTATTTTTGTTATTTACCAATTAAAATTTTTATTATTGTTTTGTTTTGAATTCAGATTTATTCCATACAAATTGGGATTTCATATCATTATTGTTTAAAAGTTTAATATTCAGCTTAAGAAATATTTACTGTTTTTTTGTTTCTGAAAATGGGAAAAATGAATAAATTTATAAATAAAAAGAAAAGTACTTTTAAATAATTTTTACTTTACTTGGTCTAAGTTTAAAGATGTCAAGTCTAAAAATCTAAGTTAAATGCATATTTTGAACAGTAATGATTATCATTAACTTATTATAGTTTTTAATAATAAAAGAATATATACAGGAAACCCTCATTAATTCAAACTCTGATAGTTCAAAATTCTTTTAGTTTGTAACCATACTATTTGTCCTGGCCAGGGTTATAAATGATTACACTTTAATGAATTCTGTTAGTTTGAAATATTGCTACTTCAAAATTTGAAGTGAAAATTCTGTCCAAACTGTGATAAGAGTATATTAACTGGTTCATTTAGATCAAAATGCCTTTGTGCTGTAAGAGAACAATAGACCAAAAACAACTCTAATCTGGTCAATATGGCTTTGCTTTTACAGTAATGCAATTTTTGGTGTTATCTTACCCACAGACTAGCCTTGTTTCTCTTATCTCATAAAATACAGCTAGGTTTCAGGATTGCAAGATTGGGCTATGAGTAGCAGACAGATATTTGTAGGGCTCTAGACTACTACATTTGGGCAGCTTACTACTTTTTGGGTCACTTTAAAAATAATTTGGGCTGCATTTTTAGGAATTCTTTACTTTTTATAAAACTTATCTGGTAACTTGTGAGGTTATCACTGGACATGTGCTGTTTACCTGTAGTTAATATTATTATTTATTAATTAATTAATGAAAATAGCATTTTGTATATGTAATCATATTTTTTTTGCTTAATAAATTACTTCAGTTACATGGCATTTGGAATTTGTGCAGAAATATGTAAATCTTGGATAATTTGAAGTTGTGATTGTTTTGTGTTTGTCCCTTGAATTTCAAACTAAAAAGGATTTCCTATATATATATATATATATCATCCTTTTTTCCTTTTTTTATATTTAGAAATATTATTTTCAATAAAACAATGTAGAACATATTATCTTTTTGGAACATTTCTTTCTTGAAACATTTTCATCTGTTTTAATATTAAATGCCACAGTTTACTTATTTTTAATTTTTCTGATTATTGAATTGGTTCATTTTCTTGAATATTATATTTAAGAGATAATTACTAATACAAAATGAATAAGAAAAATTTTATTTAAAAGGTTACAAGATGAATTTTTAAGTCTGCAAAAAGAAATGAAATTGACACTAGAAGAAAACAAGGCAATTAATAATAAAAGTGTAGAAGCCATCGAAAAAGCTAACAAAATGGTTCAAAAGCAGCAGAAAGAAATTGAAGAATTAAAAATGAAAGTAAGTGATGAATCAACAACAACTGTCATATTACATTGGGGTAAATAATGGCTATAATAATTAGCAATTACTAATAAATTTGATGTAAGAGGAAAGCATTAGGCATCATCTCGTAATAAATTTAATAATTATAATTTAACTAAATAATTTTAGATTAGATCCGTTATTTAGCCCTATGTAATATGGCAGTTGTTGTTGATTTATTGTAATTATTGGGTTCAGTATGGATGTTTATATTTGAAAGTAAGTGATGATAAAAGAAAAGTGTGAAAGGTGTTTTTAAAATTTTTCTATGATATTAAAAGAAAAAAATTTAAAAATATCAAAACACTTGAGTGAAATTACCCCGTTAAATTATTTTTATGCACTGAAACTGGCATATTTTAGTTTTTTGAATGAAATTAACTGCCTTTAATTGTTATAATTATTTTTTATTGCAGTTCTTTTTCCGTTGGCAAATTTTCTTATGATAATTATTGGTATTTAATGTATTATGAAAATATAATAAAAATCAATAATATAAAAACTTTAATAAATAATAAAAGTTAAATTGCTTTTGAAAATGTTTAGTATTTACTTACAATCCTAAACATTCCTCATAGTGATAAGGATAGAGTAGAAAGACTTTCTACTATATCCTTATCATTCTTCTCTAACTGCACTTAACTAATACTCAAACATCGACACAATTCCAATTTTTCTGTTCCCGACAAAGGCCATTCAAACTGCCCAAAAACGATAGAAAATTGAATAAAAAGGCTGCATTTTAAAGGGTTTTGTGTTGAGGTTTGAATATCTTTATCATTTCTGGAATTTACACATTGAACAAAAATGGAAAATTCTTACAATTTAGCGATGATTTATCCTTTGCTTCTATTCCATTTCTTTAATCTCAATGTGTAATTGGTTCAAACACCATCATTTTCTAGGAATTATCTCATCCACAGACTCTGTAATTACTAGCCAATCAACAACTTTATTTTACCCATAAAGTTGTGGGTAAAATAATGTTGTTGATTGGCTAGTAATTAGAGTATGTGGATGTGATTAATTCTTAGAAAATAACTGTGTTTCAACCAGTTACATATTGAGGAAAAAAGTGGTAAAAGTTGTTATTATTTAGGTTTCATGACTAGGTTGTTAGAAAAAACAGTTTGAGCATATATTTTCCTTCAAATCTGCTTATTTAGGGGTTGTCACTTCTCTAGTCCAGTTGGCAAATGACAAGGATGTAGGCATTAAATGGGACAAACTTTTATTAATAGAAGAACATAGGGAAGACTCGTTGATCGGGCCATTAGAGCAATATGTTCATTCCATATCTAAGCTTCTGGATCTTCTAAATGTAATTAACACAAATGATATAGCAGCCTTCAACAACTGTTCAGAAGATCATATTGAATAAAGTTGACATCATTCAGTTAATCAGGATAAAGTTACAAATAATTTTATTTTGAATGCATTTTTTAAAAATGTTAAGATTTTAATGGCTACGAATTTGCATCCTGTTAGGTCATTTAAAGTTACAAATAATTTTATTTTGAATGCATTTTTTAAAAATGTTAAGATTTTTTTAATGGCTACGAATTTGCATCCTGTTAGGTCATTTAATTTCCAATGTATGAAAAAGTTCATTAAAACAGGTTTTTTGTATAGAAACAATCTTCTCTTTTTATGTACAGATCTAAGAAATTGTTACTATTGTAACTGTGTCTGTGAAAGAAAGACTAACTTCTGCAGTATCAGTATTTATGGCTTCTATGAAATCTTGTGCTGTTGCTTTGCTCCTTCAGATTATAAATTATATTATCAACATATGTTGTTATGAGTTTTATATTTTTATTAACTTTTAGTTCTAAAAAGTTTTAAAATATGAATGGTCTATATACAGTTTGTTTCAAATTTTTACATTATTTATTCTTTTTACATTTGAGATTTAAATTTCATTCTATATTCTGAAAGTTTTCAAAAGTACAATTTGAAGTTGACTGAATGGAGTCAACTTCAAACTGTTATTTGTTCAAATTGTTCCCTATTAGCTTTACCAGTTTTCAATAATGTTGATTTCTTTAACAAGCAGTGTAAAGAAGAAAGGTATTAACTATGGTGCCAAGTAGGGTTTCTCTTATGGGATCCCAGCTGTTTTTTAACCCAGGAAATTCTTTTCATCCCAGGAAATCCTGCAAATTTCTTAAAAGTTTGCTTTTTTCTTAGTTTGTGTTAAGGTTGAGGAAATTTTGCAAGTAGAAAGTATAATTAACTCAAACTGTCAGAATAATTTGTATTTATTAATTTTAAGCTCGCTTATTAGTTTTTTAAATTTTTGCTTTTTATGGCATGTCAGATTGTTAATAATCAATATGTAGCCTGTTTGTGGTGCAGGACTGAAAATTCTTTACTAGTCAGAACCTGTAATATCTTGAATAATGGGAAAACCTAGTGCCAACTTTCAGAAGTTGTGATGACACAAATCTATGTATAGAAATCTTAAAATAAGGCTTTAATTAATATATCTTTTAAAAATGCAGTAATTATGTTTTTGAATGCTGCAAAATAAGTTTCTTTATACCTAACAAAGTTTAAACAGACATTTCATGCCAAATTACAAAAATAACATACTGAATACTGTCTTTTATCATTAAATGCTTTTGTAAACATAAAATATACATGCAAGTACTTTTGATGATGTGTAATCATCTTCATTAGGCAAGAACTTAAAAGAACAATGAACAAAAATTTTTTTTAATTTAGAGAACGTAAATAAAAAATTTTTTGTGCTAGAAAAACAAATTTTGATGATTTTTAAAGTTTTAAATAAATGTTGAACATGAATTTCAAAAAATATGATGTAATATTTGCTAAATTACAAATTGATATAAAATATAAGCTGATTAATAACTTTTAATAAATTATGAGAATTAAAATGATAATTTTAATTTAAATTGGTACATTGTATCGTATTCACAAATTAAGATTTTAGCTGTTTAAAAAACAATACCAAATGTCAGGATGGTCGAGGGTTGGCTTGTTACAGGACTCCTTAGTTGCTATATATAGGGATTTCCAGATAAATATGGTTCTTTGGTCTATACGGTGTTTTAGTAACGACCCTTCTGACCATACAGGATTAAAGTTTTGTTTCAACTCTTTTTTCTGTGGGGCATCTGTGGTTGAATGTCATCGCAGTGTTCTTCTAGATGGTTAATAAGCTTTCTGGTAGTGGTTCCTATTAATATAATTTCAAACCTGTCTGTGAATGTTGCAGTGAAATTATATGACTTTATATATATATTTCAGTTTATGGAATCTGACATCATCTTCCGACCTCTAGGAACTTTCTCCATCTCTCTCTTTCCATACACCATTCCTCTTTAATCCTGTTTTCGCTACATGCTAAAACGGGATTAAACGTATGACTTTTTAAACAGATAAAATATAATATTCTACTACAACATTCAAATGCACATATGGGTTCAAAACTTGGGAGTGGTTTGTAATCTAACGTGATACACGTTGATGTCAAACTATGCCGGCGGCTCTCCAAACAAAAATTCAGTTGTATACATTTCTTGTGCTAACATTCTCTTGCATTTTGAAATGCAAAGAAATATCTCTTTGCAGTTTCCATGGGGTATGAAAGAAATTGTTATTTTGTCAAGCCAGATTTTTATCAGATAAAAGTTTAAGATGACTGTCTTTCAGAATTAATAAAGTTTTGACAAGTAAAGTGCAAAAATAAACACTTTCTCACCACCACTTTTGACATATATAGAATGTTATTATCTTCAATCACTTTAATCCTTTTTAATTAGATTGATTTTTCTCACAGCAAACATTATCTGTTCAAAGATCAAAGATAGTGTTTGCTGTGAGAAAAATCAACCTAATTAAAAAGGATTAAAGTGATTGAAGATATTAATATTAATACAGCATCCCCAACATAAGAATATATAGAATGTCTTCTTCATGCAAAACGAAAACAAATTTTAGAATGTTGATATAAATTTTAATATAAATGTTAATATGTTCTAATTGGAATGCTTGTGTTAAATTTAAATGGTGTGCTATTAAACTTGCACTTTTAATTAACAATCAAACTATAATTGAAAATTATTGGCAGCTGAGATTTAATTTTTTAAAATTATTAAATAGTGAAACATATTTTAGCTCTAGAATGAGTTTATTACGCCACTCCAATTTCTTAATAAATAATGTTTCCCAGATGAATAAACAGTTGCTGTCCTCATGTTATATGAAGATTGAATATACATTCCACGGGAGTTCAAAGTAATGATTGAGAACCCTTCTAGATAGTTCTGTGGATATTTCTTTGCACTTCTAAATGCAAAATAACATTGGCACAAGAAATGTATACAATTGAATTTTCTTTTGGAATGCTGCCAGCATGATTTGACACCAAAGTGTATTACGTTAGATTACAAATCACTCCCAAGGTGTATAGGTACATTGATACCAAAGGGTTCTAAACTATATTACATAGGAACCACCACCAGAATGTTTATTAATCATCTAGCAGAATGCCAAGATGACGTTTCAAACAACAGATGTTCCACAAAATTTACCAAAAAAATCCTGTATGGACGGAAATATTGTTGTTGTTGTCGAAACTGTGTTGTTATTTATGTTTGTATAGTGGCACAATGAAGTGACCTTCTTTATCAACACTTGGCAAGTTTTCAATCTTTATTCAGTTAGAATGCCTTGCTACACATTTGCATTTCGGGTATTCACCCCTCTTCAGCTAACTAAACAAGTATAAAGTAACATATTCAACAATAACTTAACATAAATTAAAATTATACAGTAAAATTGATTTCTAACCAGTGAAACATACCTTACTCCAATACAGACACCTAACTAGTACTGTACATAGCAGAACTTTAGAATACTTAAAGGTTTTAATGACGACTATCATAAATGCCTTCTTTTTACACTTACTTACAATGACACAAACTGTTTTCTTAATTTTTAACACGCAGACAAAGTAATTGATAAATATTACTAATTAAAACAGTTACATAAAATCATGCCCCTCCTCTTCGTTCTTCTAAGCATATTCTGTAGGCCATCTTTCCAACACTGTCATCTAGTCTGCCAATTTGCATATATCACGATATACCTTGATTTTAATGAACTGACAGGTCAATTGATAGACAACTATTAACTTGAAAAAATATATAAAACATTTTTTAAAAAACACGTCTATTGTTTAAATTCCACCAGGCTTATTTTGTGAACTATTGTCCTGCTATCTAATTTACATATAACTCAAAATACATTAGTATTACATTTTTAATTAAATACCTTTAATTTAAATTAACTAATCTTTTTTTACCACTCTAATAAACTAATACACAACTATTTACAATATCTTCATCCAATTTTCATTAATTTTAACGCTTAGATTTTTGTTTATACAATTTTGATGTTTATTTCTTATTATTTCTACACTTTCTTTGAATTTTCTGTCATAAGTTCTTTTTTCTTTATGCAAAATCTGTATATTAAGTTGATCTATATTGCAATTATTGGTTACGCAGTGATCGTGAAAAACTGAATTTAGATGACTATATTTTAAATCTGATATATGCTCGTTTACACGTGTTTTTTATGTTCTTTTAGTTTCATCTATATAAAAACTATTGATTTTACAAGTGCAGGGTATTTTGTATACGACATTTTTTATTTTGTTTTTATTTTCTATTTGCTTTTTTGAACGTTGTGTAGCATTTAATCTGGATATTAGATTTTTATAGTTTGGGGCAAGCTTTATATTGTGTTTTTTTGGAAATATTGTTACTAAACACCATATAGATCAAAGAACCTTATTTATCTGGGAATCCCTATATAGCAACTAAGGACTCCTGTAACAAGCCAACCCTCAACCATCCTGACCTTTAATATCTCTTTTTAAACAGCTAAAATCTTAAACTTGTGGATATGATACTATGTACTAATTTAAATTATAACAATTTTAATTACTGTTTTAATAATTTTTTACAAAGTATAAGGATTATTGTTTATTTTTTATGTCAGTTATAATGTAGCGCGTATTCTGTCATATTTAAATATAAACATCTGTAAGCCTGATAGTTATATTAAATCCAAATGATTGCTGGATTAGGTCAGGCTGTATTACTGTTATTAATAATAATTAAATGCTAAATAATTTGGCCTGAAAGTAGACATTAGGTGCCATCTCTTATTAAATTTAATAATTAAATAGTTAAATAATTAGCAATTAATTTAGAAGGTTCTGGAAGAAAAGAATCTATGGAATAGGACTCAAACTCACAACTGTCACTTACCATGCAGATGCATTGCCAATTATGCTACCCGGACCTTCATCCGATCATCAATTCCAGAACTATTAGTTTAGTTATAATCACACTGGTTACTCAAAGCATCAACTGGGGATGACTTTATAAACTGTGGGTGCTGAGTAACCAGTCAGTGTCGTGAATAACCTGTGTGGTTATAGCTAAATTAATCATTCTGGAAGTGATGATTAGATGGTCTGGGTAGCATAACTGGCAAGTCATCTGCACAGTAAATGGCAGTTGTGGGTTCGAGTCCTACTCTGGTCAGATTTTTTTTCCCAGAACCTTCTAAATTAGGGGTCCCCAAAGTGGTCAATAAGAGTTCTCCAGGGGTTGATTAATACATGAGGGTCAAAAGGGGGTCGACTAATACCAAAGAGGATCAATTAAACTATCTAGGAAAAAAATAGAATATTCCAATAAAAATTTGAAATACGGATATGATCAACATTACTGACAACCCTAGTTATAACTTGAGTTTTGCCTTAGCCTATGTCGCTTTAAGCATGTGTTACTCTGCTTTCACACATCTGGCAACTATACTAGTGTTGCAAACATGTTATGAATGCTGGTAGTTCATTATACACAAACATATGTTGCACTGCTACACTCTAGTAGAGTTGTCACTTTAAGTATTTTATATCTAAATGTAGATATTTTGTCCTTTATAGAGAAAATATCGTAATTTATCAAAAATCATTAATTAATATAGTACAGAAGCATTTGCAAGGAAAGAATATTACAATTGTTCAAGCTCGAACAATCATAATGGCCTTTCAAGTAAAAATGGAGCTATTTAAATCTTCACTGGCACGATCTGATTTTAAATATTTTTCAAACTTGCTAGTACTAAAAGAAAATGAAAATATTTTTGATCGTGATTTGGAGATATATATTAAACATCTTGATAAATTAAGAGAAGACTTTAAAGCATGTTTTGAAGACCTGGAGAATATGCATTTTCCCGAATAGTTTGCTATTCATTTGATGTAAAAATAGATAATGAAGGTAGTGAATCTGGCTTAGAAGATGAACCGAGTGAAATATGTGTAGATCTCAAAGTTAAAGCGTTGTTTAAAAATAAAAACCTCAGTGAATTTTGGAGCAATAGCAATATTGCCACTAAATATCCCAAGCTCGGAGCAGAAGCTGAACCTTTCTTACTTGCATTCCCAACTTCATACGTGGTTGAAGCTGGTTTTAGCCATGCGAATACAATTTTGACAAAACGGAGGAACAGATTGAACTTGGAAAACCACAGTGATTTGTGGCTAAAACTTACCAATTTTCAACGGAATATCAATAATCTCACTGCTTCTCTTCAGACACATCCATCCCACTAATATCAACTATTTTGATAAAAAGGTATGTTAACATATTTTTAAGGCATTCGGTAGTAGTCGTAAAATGACAGTAAGAGGTTTTTTCATCCAATATAACTTATGTTATGTTTTCAAAGATAATTGTGTATTTTACGTATTATGACACGTACGGTTTAAGAACTATAGGCAAATTTCCATCTATCCATAATTTTGCTATTATTTTTTAAGATTATAAATCAGTGGAAAATATCTCCTTTTTCTGTTAATGTTATTGGGTGGATTTTATAAGATATGGGAACTATAAATTCTTTTGTCGGGTTGTTATGCAGGTCTCCTTATTGCTTAACATCAGAAATGCAAAAATGATTTAATGTTTTTACTAAATACTTAAACTGGGGGGTCGATAAGAAGGCAAATATTCTATAAAGGGGTGGACGGGATAAAAAGTTTGGGGACCCCTATTCTAAATTAATAAGAACACCCAACTCAATAATCTAAAAACCAACAAAATTAAGATATCTTTCAACTTAATCATTGGTGCTAATGTCAACTCTTGAAGAACCTTTATGTCCAGTAACAAAAAACCTTTTTTGTTACCAGACATAAAAGTTCTTCAAGGGTTGCCAACAAAATTGTCACTCTCTTATAAAGCAAAGTTGTTCATTAATTAATAAATATTAATTTAATTATAATCATTAATTTTAATAAGAGACGGTGCCTAATAGAGACTACTTCTAGGCAAAATTACTTAGAATTTAAGTATTAGTAGTAGCTGTAATTTAGCAAATCTAATGTGACAATCATATGACTTTATTATGTGATATTTATTAGCAATTTTTGTTCTACATTTATTTAAAACTTTAAAAATCATTAAAGTTTGTTTTTAAACATGTGGGAATAAATTTGTTAATTTACATCCTCTTAATTAAAAATCATAATCTGTTTGTTGTTGCTTTATGTTCTTGCCTGACAAAGACAACAATATATTGTTGAAAGTACTTGCATGTATATTTTATGTACAGTACATAAAAGCTCAACATAAAAGAGCAGTTTATTTAATGCAGTGGTTCTCAACCTTTTTCGTTAATGTACCCCATTAGCCCATTAGTTGTTTCTCGAGTACCCCTTATATTTTTGTATGTAAATTTTATAATTACTGCGTTAGATGTATACAGCCCTTATAACCGAGCGCCATAAAAAACTCTAACTATAACTAAAAGTGGGTTACTTATTTTACGTAAATAATAATAAATTTAATCAGGTACTGTACTTCTATATAAAATAGTACACAGTTGTAATCATTACTTATTTCAGTACAAATCTGCTTCAAAAGTCTAGTATTTAACACACTGTTTTTTACAATATTTGTTAGTGTCTTAGAGATTATAATTGTGTACTGACTGTGAAAGTAATGGCTGTGAATTTATAACGTGCGGAACAATACAAGAATCTTTCAATTTTTGTAACAAACATAACGTCTAAATTTGCTAAATATCAAGTAATGCACGCATGCAGTGACATGCATTGCACGGTGGGGGTACGATCCAGGCCTCCTTATTCCTAATACCAGTAGTCCAGTAAAAACATAAGAAGCCCCTATCTCATTGAGCGTAAATCGAAGGGGTACATCTAGCTTTCATTATAAAATGGCGTAATAATTTACAGCAAATTGATTAACATACGCCATTTTATAATGAAAGCTAGATGTACCCCTTCGATTTACGCTTGTACCCCTAGGGGTACATGTACCTCCAGTTGAGAACCACTGATTTAATGTGTTATCTTTGCACTTAAATTAAGTTCTGTAGTTTACAAAAAAAAAAAGAAATTTTAAGACTATCTAAAATAAAACTTTGTCTTATTTACAGTTAGAAGCCCAAACATCAAACAATTTATATAGAAATCTTAAAGAAAAATCCAGAAATAACTTGAAGGAATGGACTAATCAATTGGAATCTGAATTAGATAATTATAGGCAAGAATATACTAGACTCCATTATGAAGCTTCAACTCTTAAATCACAACTTGAGTATAATGAAATAGAACATAAAAGAACTGTTGAAGGATTAAAACTTCAGTATGAATCAGAGGTAAAAAAAAATTATTTATTTATTTAAATGCAAAATGTTGCTTTCTTCATTTGGAAAGTGAAATGAGAATAAACTAATGCTTCAGCAAATATAAAAAAACATTGCTTTATTACAGTGTATCACAAGTCACATCTTACCACAGATGCATTTTGAATGTTTACAAATGTTTTTGACCTGTTTCACAAGTCATCTTCAGTTGCACCATACAATTATTGACCATTAATGTTTAAAATATTCAATCCATAAAAATAGGTATACAGTAAGACCCCACTTAATGCAGGGAATACATTCCTAGATGACAAAGCACTAAACGAAACAGCATTAAACAAGGTAATTTTAACACAGAGTAAACAGGGAAAGGGGGACACGTGACCAAAAATAAACAGATTTTACTTTAATTTTAAGTTATTTTTATATTAATTTGCACAATAATATATGTTAAANTTAATTATGGGGAAACCCTGGTTATTGTGATTAATGTTGCCACTACAATAGTTGAGAAGAATAACATATGAGAAACAGGAGATTGTTGCCAAGAATTTTCAAAAATTATGCTTAAAATTTTAAATACTAAATATTATGCTAGATATTTTTTTATGAAAGTGCTTGAAAGGAATGAGATAATACATTAAATCAATTTTTAATTTTGAAACTATTTTTCTGAAAAATAACTTAAATTTTTTTTTTTTTTGTTTTTGTTAATAGTAATGTAGGAGAGACATCTTGATTCAAAAATTTTTTTTTTTCTTGTTATGTGCTTCAATATGATCAACGATTTCGGTTATTGTTACCAAACTTTTACTAAGGAAATCTGTAGAGAAATTCTTTGGGTTTTTCAATTTCAGAAACACTATTTTCCAGTTCTGCACGAATTCCTTGTTCTGCCAGTTCTTGAAGGTTGTCGTTGGTAAGGCTCTCAACAGAAACCTGCAGTAATTCCTCAATATCCTGCTCGTCTACATCTCCTAGTCCTGCTGTATTGATTAGGTTGACAATTTGGTCAACTAACAATACAATGATAGGCTCTTCTTATTGATAATTCTTGGATACCTTCAGAAATAACTTCTTCCACACTTTGTTCATGCATCATTTATCAGTTAATTCCTGCCAAGTTAAGTCGATATTGCCTATGGCATCCATGATGTTATATTTTTTCCAAAATTGCACCAAACAAACATAGATTTAAGGAAAATACAGCGCTTTGACGAATTGCCACTTTTTGCTGATTGGTTTGTGTTTGGGATTAATCATATTGTATATGAATCAATGAAATGCCATGATAATTTGAATCAGCATAAATTTTGAGTTTTTGTTTTTTAGACTTCGAGCAGACCACGTTATGTCGAAGCAGCATTAAGTGGGATTTTACTGTACTTTAAAATACAAAGTGTAACTTAAATATATATTGGGCCCTAATAATTTGATAGTCTGTAGTTGTAACCCAAAGCTATTCCCCTCTCATTCATTTACAAGCAAATAACTACTGTACAGTAAATACATATTTGGAAGCTAAACTCTGCTTTTGGAGAAACCCACAATATACAAGTTATTACATAACAGTAACGATGATATAGATTATTACAACACAACGAGTGTATACTCTATCCCAATAATGGACGAAAGATTGAACTGTCAATCAATGGACTTGGGTCTTACAAATAGATTGTTACAATGTAGGCTGGAGGAATACAAATATGATATTGACAATAATAAACTATTTAATAAAACAAAATTTCAATACAAATACTAGTTGTATCTTGCTTGCCATGTCCAATCACCTGGAACAACCATTCTTCACTGCAGAGATGACCTTTCTTTGTAGGCTACAGCTCTGCACAAATATGTAAAATAGTCTAAAATGTCCACAGGTGACAATCCCAACATAATTAAAAATATAACATTTTCTTGTAAAAAAGGGCTGGCAGAAATTACAATTTAATAAAACAAAATTTCAATACAAATACTAGTTGTATCTTGCTTGCCATGTCCAATCACCTGGAACAACCATTCTTCACTGCAGAGATGACCTTTCTTTGTAGGCTACAGCTCTGCACAAATATGTAAAATAGTCTAAAATGTCCACAGGTGACAATCCCAACACAATTAAAAATATAACATTTTCTTGTAAAAAAGGGCTGGCAGAAATTACAATTTAATAAAACAAAATTTCAATACAAATACTAGTTGTATCTTGCTTGCCATGTCCAATCACCTGGAACAACCATTCTTCACTGCAGAGATGACCTTTCTTTGTAGGCTACAGCTCTGCACAAATATGTAAAATAGTCTAAAATGTCCACAGGTGACAATCCCAACACAATTAAAAATATAA